TTTTTTTTATTAAAATAAAGCCAGGTTAATTTAAACATATTTAATTTAATTAGTTAAATCAAAGTAGTTATAGTTGATATATTTTAAAACAGATCCAAAATGTATTAAATCAGTTTCAAATTGTTTTTGTATCAAATCTAAATCAGATTTGGATTTGGATTTGGATCAGATTGAATCAATTTGAATCAAATTCAGATTCAAATCGGATCAGATCAAACTGTTATGATTTCAAATCAGATTGAATCAGTTTAAAATAAATCAGATCTATATCCAATTTGTATTTATAAAAACTGGATCGAATTGAATCTAGTTAAAATCTGATCCGATTTGATCTATTGTGATCACTAATCTGTACTATTCAAAATTTTAAAGACAAGTTGGAATAGACAAAATTTCCTAAAAAGCTATAAAAAATAGTTCTTAAAGGATACAATGCTAGTTAAAAGATAAAAAAATAAGTCATTTGGCTGAGATATCATCTCTATTGTTTCTCTACTATAGTTGAGAGGTGATAGATACTTTACTGTTAATTCTTTTTCTTTTAGGAGCTTTGTTACTATTGATAGTAAATGTGAGAATTGAATTTTGCAGATCACAAGAGTCTAGTTTGTCCAAAGGAGATTGTAAATAAGATAAAAAGAATGTAAGAGAGTTCTAAAAGGAACTCTTTAAGTTGATTTAAAAAAAATAGTAAAACTTTTTTAATAAAGAAGTATTAAAACTTCTTGCAAATATCTTTTTTGTATATGGTTAAAGGATCAGTAGAAAGAGTTTGACAATTGAAATATATATATAATATATATATATTCTTGTTTTTTTATATTTTATATTTTATTTCAGATCTAATAATATATTATAAATCTATATTCTTTTTATTAATTTTTTGATTACATATAAAAAAGATGCTTGTAAGAAATTTTTACATTTCCTTGCTAATAAAATCTTAATACTTTTCTTAAAACAACTTGAAATATGAATTAAAGAATTACTTTTATTCTTTCTCTATTGTCTATAAATCTCTTTATTCAAAAACTTGACTCCTAGTAATTAAGAAAAGTCAAGTAATATTTTTGATACCAATAGTAAGAAAGTTTTCAAAAGAAGAAGAACTGACTATAAAGTATTTGAAGATTTTTCTAACCTTTGAAATAAGAGATTTATAGAAGTTTTTTGCAATAAAAAGGTTTATTTTCTCTTTTTTTAATTGTCTTGATTATCTTAAAGCTTACATTTTTATAATTTTTAATAGAAAGAAAGTTTTAGAAAAAGTATTCTCTTCAATTATATATGTTCAATCTCCAGAAAACAATTATGATACTGAAAGATAAGTAATAGATGAAAAAAATTTTTTGACTTCTATCTTTTATTAAGTTCTTCAGGTAATAAAAAAACTTTCTTAAACAAAAGTTAAGATTTTCAAACTTAAATAAAAGTAAGATGAACAAAGAAATTGAACTATTTGATATTACTTCTATTTGATAGAATTTTATTTATATGTTGTCAAATATTTAATATAAATTATTTATTTATATTTCTCATGTTATCAAAATTGTAATGTTATTTTTATAATTGATATTCTTTTTATAATAATAACAAAATACTACAGTACTATTGAATGAAATGCATCCATATATTTTTTGTACTACAGGAATATCACATGAAATTAAAGTCAAGGTCACCAGAATTATTTTTTTTTTTTTCATTTTCAACAGTTGATTTATCAACAATTAGAAAAAGATAATAATACAAACTTGGTTCACTAGAACCTGGTAATAACACTTAAATATGACAAATTTGCAATAGCCATATATATAACTCTAGTACTACGTTTCATTTAAAAGTTCAAATAAATATTTCACGTGATTTACAGTAATCCTTCGCGAATTACGCGATTTCTAATTCCGATTCGAGTTTGATACGCTCAAATATCAACTTGCAAAAGAAAAAAATTCTACTTATTACCACATGCAAAATGTTTAAAGTAGGTTTGAAGGAATATAGTGGCAACGTCAGATTGTCGCTCAAAAAGGTGACCTCGCGAAATTTTACCACTATAAAGTATTTACCGGACATAACAACAATTAGAGAGGAGAGAAGGTTTATTTTAAGAAGAAATGAAGCGTCATTTTCCACGAGCAGCGTCACACACAACGACCCTTTTGGTTCTCCATTTGGTTCATTCCCTAATACGCCCCTTCCTGTTACCCGACCGAATCAAGGTTTCACGCGAGGCCTTCAAGACTCTGATTCCTTTAAATCGGAGGGGCCTCTTAGGGAAAAGTATGTATTTATATAATCTTTGTTGCACAATATAACAACCAGTATTAGAAAGATAACAAAATTATTACTTTATTAGTTCACAAACAAAAACTGAATTGAAAAGTTTAATAGGGCAAGAAACACAGATTCCGCAAGCTGACTTTGTTGATAAAGAAAAAGTCGAGACCGCATCGGAAACTAATAAATCAAAGGCAGCAAGTTGGAGACTTGATAAAACGACAATTCAGAAACTGGTCGACGGTATCGATGAGCATGGCGAAGATTGGGAATTTTTATCAACAGAAGTTTTTAATGGTAATATCTCCCCGCATTCATTGGAAAACAAATGGACTTTCTTGAGAAAAAAGTATCCGCCTAAAATTCAATCGCCTAGTAGAGTTTATCCTTATTGGACTACGAAAGAAACAGAAAAACTAATCAGCGCAATAGATTTGCATGGTGTAGAGTGGGATAAAATTTCGATCGAGGTGTTCAATAGAACAAGATCCCCAAGACAATGCAGGTCTAAATGGGATAACTTACAGAAGAAACCATTTTTCCAGGAAGAGCGTCTCGAACCTGACGGAAAACCCACCAAGGCACTTAAGAGGGAAGTTTCTTTAAGAAAGGAGAATAATCATGAACCACCGGCATTAGGCGGCATACTTCAAGATCAATGGTCAAAAGTTGCTTATGCATTAGGACGGCGCTTTGTGAAGCTCGAAATAAATTTTGTCAGTCCTCAGGAACTGCCATGGACTAGAGAAGAAAATATCATCCTATTTAAAGTTATCAAAGAACATGGCATCAACTGGGACGAAATTTCTAAAGCCATTCCAAAACGGTCGGTTGAAAGTGTACGCGAAAGAATGGGTAATACAACCTCGTGGACCAAAGAAGAAGTTGAGAAATTCGAAGAGGCGTATAATTTATACCAAAATGATTGGGATCGAGTATCTAAACATATCAAAACAAAGACGCCTGGGCTATGTTGGTCTTATTGGAGAACAATTACGGGCGCTGATATATTAGAATTCCATGCGAGTGAAAAATCTGGTAAGATAGTTTGCTCTAACCTTCTTTGGACATTGATAATTAATGTTTAATTTTAGGATCGAATGTCCACCGTGCCGCACTTAAAGCAACATTCTCCGACTCCAAGACTATCGAACTGTCTTTCATTCGTTATAACACGGTTGACGCTTTCGTGCTAGAAAATGAAGTTTCAAAATACAAATCACAGCGGGAGAGTTAAACTTCAATGGTTTTTATTTAATGAATATTGCATATATGATTTTATTATTATTATTATTATTAGGCTTGCATAAAGTTGTCTTACAGGATTCAATTCTAATAATAATAATCATTTTTAAAAAAGGAATAAATATACGAAACGTTAATACTATATAGAAGTAACTATTTGCATAAGCGTTTCCGCCAATTCGGACTGCCACCTCGATTGGAAAATCTTCTCCAAGAAGCTTGAAACTAATTTCTGGACGTTCGTTAAGCCAAAATTAATCGCTATTGGGTCCGTGAAGATAAATGTTAACGTGACGAATTCAAGTCAACACACGAGATTGGCTCGTGCCTACATTTCTGTAAACTGAAAGCCGGAATAGAGTGCGAGGAGTCATGTTAACGAGGATGGATTGTTAACGAGGATGGATGGTTAACGGAGGTGAATTCACGAAACTTAATAAATGCATTAAAAAGGAAATATCGCAAAAGAAAAAAAAAATGAGATGAATAATAAAAATTCGATCATAAAATACTCTACTCGAAAGATAGTAATACACATCTTAGGTATAATTTTTTTTGAGCAACAAGATATCTTAAGGAAGTAACGACATATCAGTTACAAACGTATGGGAGAGAGTTAAATAACTATTGAATTGGTTTACCTCGGTTTGTTTACCACTGCAAGACATTCGTCAGGATTAAAGGTCAAATCTTTTCTAGATACGAAGAATCATTCGACATAATTCCCTTCGGTGTCTTGGAATTTTTATCAACTCACACAATGTATGTCCAGAGGAGAGTAGGAAAGTAAAATGCTACCATCGCAGTGTTTACAGATGATATCAGGCCTAATAGAAAGCTGACATTTGATTTTTATGATAAATAAAAACCAGGTAAGTATATCGAGCGTGTCGTTACAGCAACAAGCGCCATATCATCGATGCGGAAGAAAAAATAAAAGTATAGTGATTGTCCAGAGCCTTTCAGAAAAGTAACGTGGACGAGCATTGTAATCGTAAAGGAATTCTTTGAAAACGGTTAATTAGCTTATCTAGAGAAAATCAAATGGATAATATAATATATATATATATACATATATATATATATATTTTTTTTAAAAAAAAAAATTTTTGATAGTTTCCAAACAAATTTTTACAAGCTCTTATATAATGTAAATTAGTGAACGGAATCGAAAAATCCCCTGACTTTTTCACCCGAATCCTATTTGAATAAATAAAAGTCGGGTGATTGACGGGAATTAATCGCGTGAGAATTTTATGCCAATCATCAAGTGATCGCTCAGCCCTAGAACGCGGGAAATTTTTATCGCGTGAAATTTTTTTTAACGTGGGAAATTATTTATGTGTAAATGTGCGCCTGCAAATGAATCCAAAAAAGTCCTAGTCAAAACGACCATTTCAGTTTCCCTCCCTTCTCTTTGTCATAAACTCCGAAACCAATTCCTGGTACATCTCGTCGTGCAAACCTTTGACGCGCTGATAATGTCCACGAATACGATTAAGCTCAGATTGTAGTTCCGATACTTTTGTTTGAAGTGCCGTGGTTTCGTCTCCGATCTATAATGAGATAATGGGAAATGAAAAATAGCATGCTAACATAGGCAGGAAGTTTTTTGTGACGTACGCGAAATTTTCTTTGGTTCCTTCTCGCCTTTAACAAATCATGAAATTCTAGAAAATTTTAAGTCACAAATCAGTTAATTGTACACATGTAGTTATTAAGTTATTAATTAATTAATTACCTTGACTCGTGTAACAATAGCGATCCTTCCTAGTCGCATCATAAACATTCTAATGAGAAATAAAAAATTATGACATTATGAACGCAACTCAAAGAGATGGTAATAATAAAATAGAATAACAGGGTACCTTTGTATTATCGCTTAACACCAAAACCACGGATTCCTCGGCGTCAGAATCTTCTGGTATCAGACTCTGCTGGGTCCTTTTAAATGGTTGTATTGATTGTGTGATTGTTTTATTTGTTGATAAACCGATTTTGAAAAGATCTGGTGGTCTTAGGAACGTAATCAAATTCGTCACTGGACCTTTTTGAAATTATGGGTCGGATCACTTTAGGATTCTGTTTTAATGGACTCATTCTTCTTAAACGCGACGTTTTCAAATTTCGTGAGATGGATAGGATACCTTTGTGATGATCGAAACTCCTCACCATTTGCCTGCTATTAACATCCCATACCCTCACATTGCCGTCTTGAGAGCCTGACAAGATGAGGGTAACGTCGTAAGAAAGTGAAAGTGTCGTTATAGGTGAGCTACAAGAAGGAATACTATCATCAGCTTATGCTCTGCCTAGGAAGGGACAAGAAATTATAGAAAACCGAAAATTAACCCGTGTCCTTTGAATACTAATTTACTATCATTTTCACGATGCTGGGATGCGACATCTTCAATTATGCCGCCGCCTCCAACGGAAGTGATCTCAATCCCGAAACTTGAGTTATCAAGTTTTCGGTACAGATTCACTTGATAAATGAGGTTATCTCTACCGCCCGCGAAAAACATCCTTTCCGCGGGATCAAGTGCGACGGCAGTTATGGCAGTAGGGAAAACAAAGGTAGTTAAGAGATATCCGGTGGACAAATCCCACAACTATTTTTAGTTTTTCATGTTCCAAGTTAATAACGGCACCTTCGACTCACGAATCTTCTAACATATGTTTGCCACATACTTTGCAGGTATGATCTAAAGATGAGGTCAACACTCTTGCAGAACAAAAGTCACCGATACCACATGCCACGTCTGTAATTGGCAGTGAATGATCTGACCACGAATAATAGGGTGATGGAACTTCGTCCGTCGAGTCATCCAAGACACTGATGTAAAAATCATCGAGTTAGTTAGTGAATGGATGTCCCTTATTCTTCCCTTCGGAAGTAACAAGAAATCTATGAACCTGCTCAACAACCAGACATTCAATCCTGCGTCTTCGCTCCCTGAAATAAATGCAGCGTCATCGTTTGTAAATTTGAT